CCGTCCGCCAGCCGCCATTGGCGCCGGCCCCTAGCCCAGCCCGGCCTGGCCTGGCCACGCCCCACCCCAGCGGGCTGTGCGCGGCTTCTGCGTCATGACGCTAGCGCGACCGCAAAGACCAGCGGGAGCTGTAGTCTCGCGGGTGTTCCTCTCTTTCGCCGTTCGGCCCCGCCCCCCGAGCGGGCGAGGCGGGGCAACCGGGCTCGGGGTTCTCTTGGGCTTGTCATCGCCCCGCCCAGCGCGGCTGCCTCTCCCCCGCCTGCTGCGAGCTGAGCTCCCCGCCTCGTGCCGCAGTGACATCAAAACCCGCACCGCGCGCTGCTTGTGCCCGTTGCAGCGTCACAGAGCGCAGCTGCGTTTCTGTGACGTAGAGCCCTGCCTGCTTTCGTATTTCCCCGGTGGTGCCAGGTCGTAGCTATCTAGATTCTGTTGGAAGCCCAAAATGATCCATTTGCTGAAAAACGATCGTACACTGAAAAATATGCAAGTAAGTATGCAATTAAGAACGCACATAAATTGGCTCATTCCCTTTCTATTGCTCACTATTAAGTACCAGCGAGTGAGTGAGAACTGGCTCACCAGAGCTGAAGCATGTTCTTCTTTTGAGGCAAGCAGGAATAAGAAAGTGCTGACAGCCGGCTCAAAAGTCAGTTAAAACTCCCGGAGAGTGACCTGGGTTTTGCCTATGCTGCATCAATGAGCTGCCCCAAAAGTGATCGTACATTTTGCAGGGGTTTAGGTTGTAGCCGTGTTGGACATTTTGAACACTTCTACTATTATTGATCATACCAGAGCTGAAATGATTGTACGAATGCGTTAATTATAGTACACCTGGCAACCCTGGGTGCACCTATCCTGGGGGTGCTGCAAGACACGCATGGGGGGGGCACTCCCACAGCACAGGCGACACCCGGTGCTCAGCGAGTCCGGGTTGGGGTGGGGAGCCCCTTTGCCAGCCCTGAGGCAGGAAGCAGTGGGGGTTCCCTGTGGCTGGGGATGACATGGAGGGGAGGGTGCCATCAGGCAGCTCCATGTGCTTGGAGCGCTCCCAGCTCCCCCAGGTGGCATCTCGGCTGCAAGCAGCGGCTTCCAGTCAGGATCTGAGGTGCTGCAGTCCACCCGGCAGTGCTTCCCAACCAGGGGATCCAGGGGCTCAGGCCTGCTGAGGAAGCTATAAGGCCTCTTTAGTTTTGGAGGCCAATAGCAATGTGTTACATATTGCTTGGGACAAACGATCAAAACAGGGACTGAAGTGGAGGTCAAATGTAATAACAAGAGTGCCAAGGGGAGACACTAAACCAGACAGCACCCACTAGCCATCAAATGAGTTCAAGGAGTCTTTCAAGGGTGCCACAGGGTGCTGTCTAATGTTAACATGGTTAGGGCCTTACCCTATTACCTACTTGGTTGGTGTATTGTGGGAGGGAGGAGGGGTGTCCTAGTGAGAAATGTTGTTCCTACTATGAACTAAAAAGCTAACGAAAGCAGAGAGATGGCTTTTTCTGAGACTCCTCCTCAGTCTAACAAGGGGGCCCCAGTCTAAAAAGGTTGTGAACCACTGGCTTAACTTAGTGCTCTTGAAGCATAACAGCAAGCAGCAAGAGGAGAGGGACACAAAAAAGCCCCACCTATTCATGGAAGTACACACACACACACACACAATGTAACCCTTTAGGTAGGGCATGTGGGTTTACCCTTATCTTGCCTGCCAGGTTTGCTGCATTGCAGTAAGACTTTGTGTGCTGTGTGGGTTGCTGCTAATTTTTGGTCCCAGTTTATGGCATTCCATGTAAATTTGCATCTCTGCATCTTGCTAAGTTTATTTACAACAGAAATAAAGGCTCCTGAAGGTTAGGGAATGAAACAGTTGTATTTCTTTGAGGAAGGACCAGCAAGTCTTTTTGTTTTTCTTTTTTAGTTTTGTGCCTGGTAAAGACCCCTCAGTTGAGGTCTTTGTCCTGTGTTAAGTTCTACAGCTGTGTGCAGAGCCTGTCTAGCTACAGGGCACTCAGTGCGGCAACCTCTGTTTGGGCCTTGTTACACTTTAGGCTGTGAGCTGCACAAATGTTGATCGGCTTAGTGCTAGCTTGGAGTTTGGAGCAGTCACACCTTCAATTTGAGTGGCACATTTATGGAGAATGGCCACACCTTAATGGAACAAGAACTGAGTTGTGAGGATGAAGAGATAATCCTGTCCTGGAGTGGCATAACTTTGAACCACATAATGAGTGCTTTAAAACACATTAACACCTTAATGTGCAGACAGGGGTTAAGAGCTCCAGGAGCTGCCCAAATTTACCGTACAACAATGCCCTTTCATGCTCCGTGTTTTATGCATTAATGAAAGGACTTGATAAGGCCAGTGAAAATGCATAGGGGGTGCACATGCACCCCTTGAGCGCGCTGGTGCACGCCCTAACAGCAGCGTTTCCCACTTAGATGGATGAGTGAGACAGGGGCAGGCAAGACCACTGGTTCCCCCCCCTCGCTACCCCCCTGAGAGCACTGGCCAGGGAGTGGGGGCATCAGGAGAAGCAATCCCTGTGGTCCCCACAAGGCACGATTGGCTGTGGGGGGACCCCCTCCCTCCCCAGTTGCTGACTGGCTGCTGGCGGGGCAGGTGCCCCCCCCCCCCGACTCAGGAGGCACCAGTCGCTCATGCATAAGGCAGTGGTTCTCAACCTTTTTATACTTGAGGCACCCCCTCAGAAAATGGCAGCTCTTAGTTTTCACTCTGTTTTTGGCTATGGAAAAACAATAAAGAAATTCTTCTGTTGCAAGATAGCCCACAGCAGGCCAGAATGGTTTTAACACTATAGATTCCTAGTCGAAACCTCTGGGATTATTTTGTGAATCATATGTACATGTTTGCACACCCAACGGTGCTAATATTGCATAATATCCAGTGACAACTTTAAAAGGAGCTCACAGGTAAAGCACCCTGGTTGAGAGTAACTGGAATTAAGCCTTTCATTTGTACAATAAAAGATAGTTGCCCTGTTGCTTCCTGTGTGATCTCACTGGGACAAATCCCACAATGCACAAAGTAGATAATATGGTCTACATAAGACCACTGTAAAGGAGGTGCACAACTGGTTGAAAAACACTTTCAAACAACTTTTACCAATGGAACCCTCTCAAACAAGGGCCTCACTTTCAGTGGAGACTCCCAAGAGTCTGTCCTGTGCCCAAATCTATTTAGTACTTTCATTAACAATTTGGATAATGGAACAGAGTATACTATTTGAGGATGACAGTATGCTGGGAGGGCAAAATGATTCCAACAAATTGGAGAGATGGTCTGAAATCAACAAGTTGAAGTTTAATAAAGAAAAGTGTGATGTGCTGCACTTAGGAAAGAGAAATCATGCTTATAAAATATGAGAATAAGTAGTTACACAGTAGTATGAACATAAGGGATCTGGGAGATATGGTACATCATAAAATAAAGGAGTCCGTGATCTGATGATCCCAAAAGCCAAATCTCATTCTGGAATGAGGAGTGCTATATATAAAAAACAGGAGTATTTATTCTACTCTCCTAGGTACTGATGAGGCCTCAGGTACAATTCTGTATCAAATTCTGGCACTGCACTTGGAGATGAATTAGAGAAACTCCAGGAGAAGAGGAGATTTAGAAGATATGAGCTATCAGGAAAGGTTAAAAGAACTTGTTTAGTCTAGAAACACGAGATGGGGGAACTGGAACATGGTAACAGTCTTATAACACAGAAAAAGGTTTGTGTTAAGAGGATGGTAATCAATATTTCCCCGTGGCACCCTGGGGAAGGCTAAGAAGAAATCTACCTTAAAACAAATTAAGTTAGATTTTAGGAAAAGCGTTCTAATTATTAGTGTGGTAACACACTGGGAAATAATTTGGGGAGGGTGTGAAATTTCCTTCACCAGAGGCTTTTAGAAAATATTGTACGAACATCTGTCACAGACGGTCTAGTTGTAAAACACTAGGGTGGCATATAAATCTAATAAGTAATTAAATGTGTCTAGTTCAACACCCTCCACTCCATCCCCTGACAAGGAGACAGTGTTAATTGTCATAACCAGGCATCCTGATTTTCTCTCTTCAAAAACTGCAGATTCTCCAATAGAAATAGCAAATTATCCGATTAAAACCCCCAAAATCTGTGTTTTTCCATGATTAAAATGAAACACCACTATATATAAAGATATCAGTTAACTACAATGTTTTATTGATATATTTACCATTTTAAAGCAGTTTGGAAGCCTACCAGTGCCTCAATCACTATACTAAAATAAATCCTAAATACCTATAAATACTACCTAAAAACCTATAAAATAGGGCGTTTGGTTGGGGGGGGGGGGGGGAGGTGTTCTTGAAAAAATCGGAAAAGTGCCCCTCTCCCTGCTCCCTTCACTCACCAGGACACAGGTCTACTTGCAGCTGTCCCTCCCCACTGCTTTGTGGCACTGAGCAGCCCTGATATACCGATGCCCTGCCCATGCCATTGCCTCTCACTTGCCAACCACCACCCCCTGGGTCCTGCTGGTGCCCCTCACTCCCCACCCACAGTCCCCACTCAGCCCTGCCAGAGAGCACCCCCAGCTGCCAGGGCTATGGGGCTAGGGACCCAAGTCCGCAGCCCCATCCCTGCCAGCAATGCCTGAGTGCCAGCTACCATCTGTGGGAGG